CACCTGACAATATGCAGCGAAATATGGCATGCAGTAAACTGTTGAATCTATTGGGTTTTCTGTTTTGTTTTTTGTTTTGATTTATTGATTTAAGATTTGTTTGTTCGTCCTCACACACAAACACACACACACACACACACACATACATACATACACACACATAAATAATACACACAGTCACACACACGCATATACACATATATATATATATGTATATGTATGAGTGTATGTGTGTGTATATATTTATGTGTATATACATACACTGTGTCCGGAAAGTCATGGTGCACGTTTGACGTCAAATGACGTTAAAAGTGCACCATGACTTTGCAGACACACAGTATATATAGACACACACCTACAAACACACACACACATATATATACATATATAAATATATATATATATGTATATACACACACACAAACATATGTATGTTTGTCTGTGTTGAAGAATACTAATTGCAGTTATTTTGATAAACCAGATCCCCGGATAGGCATGAGGTATAGTGATGATCACATCATTCATTTTTCTGGAAGGTTAGCTTTATGTAAATACTCTAGATTAGAAAAATAGATACACGCCTACACATGACTCTAGTACACTGTATGGCACTGTACTGATACAGGTGTCAGAGATGGCACTGTACTGATACAGGTGTCCGAGATGGCACTCATACATGTGATTACAACGATAATAATATACGGCACTGGTACAACAAATGGTTAGGGATAAAGCTCAACGTTTGAGTTGAGTTGAGTTAAGAATTGATATCACAGCACTCGGGGCATTCCCATGTGTGCTCCGAACTCATTTTCAGCAGCCAGACGCATAGTTCCAATACTGATGGTATCAGTCAAAATACGGATTATTTTGTCCGTCTTGCCTTTTCTCTGAGTGTAGTGAGAAAGTTGTTCAGATCCAGGCAGTCTTTCTGCCTGTTTATTGCCCACCACGCTGGCATACCCTGGAGAAAAGATCCAAAGTATGTTCACTACCCGTGACCTTCCCAGAGAAGCTTGCCACTCTGCTCGAAGCATCCCTGTCTTCACCTTTTTTAACATGCTTTCAGAGTCTGTTACAATTACGACATGTGTATGCATCTTGTTCTCTAGCCACCGGTGAGCTGCAGTTACCACCTCCAACTCGATCCTAATTCTAGATGTTGTGGTGTCGTATGCTGTCTTGCACGAAATATTTTTCACTGGCTCTCGCTCTCAACACTGAATCATCTATATAATCAAATCACCTGGGCGTGAATTGTCAGGAATCAACTGTTGTAATTCCACCTCCATAGCACCCACTGGCCACTCTCTGCACTCCCGGCCTAATGTGATCATAACCCTACACAGGTCAGACTTTTCCAGACTTTTGTCTGCATCTACTCTGAGGTAATGCAAGGATATATTGCATGCACACAATCGTAGTGTCTTTCGTACATCCTAGGATCGGTCGCATAGCTTCATTCTGTGTGTGCTCCAGTTTCTCTAGCTGACTCTTCGAGATAGTGAGTAACCCCAATCCATAATCAGTCACTGAGATTATTAAGTAAGGGTAAAGTGTGAACAGAATTCACTGCTCCATGTCCATCGCTGTCATAATCTTTACTGCATTTAGACCTTTTTGAGCCTTTGTCATAAACCCCTTTATGTGATTCTTTAAAGACAGAAATATGTAAAAGGTTTTACCCAGGTACAGCAGTCTGCTGTCTGTTTTAATGTCCATGCCTTTTTTTTTTTCGAGTCTGGGATCATCAGCTCTAACAATCCCTTTGTTCAAAGAACACCACAGGACGGTTGTCATTTTGGGTTTGATTACAGCACTCAATGTATATGGTTAGATAGTCACTTGGTGGAACAGATCATGAAGTACTGTTTTAGCACAATCAGTGGATATAGATAGACAGTCATATGGCGAGACAGACCTTGTAGTAGCGTGCAACAAATAGCACTCACATACAGGGTTGAATAGTTACACAGTGAGACAGAGGGAGCCGCCTTGGGTGGGTACCATGTCCAGTACTGGGAAGTAAAGGCGGCCGGCGTGATGTTGACCACATCACCCACCAAGTGCCGATTGGTCTGCAAAATGTAGGTCTAAATGTAGTTGGAACTGATAGTTGTGGGAATTGAAAGAGAGTTGTTGAGACCCCCCGTGTGGGTTCCGGGGCCCTTTTGTGGGTAAAACAAGAATAGACCCACTGCCTCCCCAAAAGCATGTCGTAAGAGTCGACTAACTGGGGAGCATCCTTTGAAGTCGGAGTGCATCTGCCTGAGAGGCAAGGAACCAGCAGTCTGCATTCAATGGAATTAGATCTGTAAAACTGATGCACACGCAATATTCAGGTTCTGGAGCAGGACTGCAGTCCAGAAGTGTGCGAACAACTAGAACTTTACGCCAGAGTGTATAACTGGTGAACAAGAAGAAGAAGTTGTTGAGAGACTGATGGGAATGAAAAGATATAAGAATGAAAGATTACTGAATAGTGAGGTCTAGTTTCACAGTATTCCGGACAGGTCAACAGGTTCTCAGATCTTTTCCTCCATAGCTCTGCAAGGGCAAAAACCCACTAATGACGCCCGTTCTGTGTTGATTAATCAGACGATTGTTTGCCCTTAGTGCTCTAGGCTGCACTCCCATATCCATCACCATCGACACGATCTTCTTCGCGATATGCGTGTCACTGGACATCAATGACATCACCACTGCCCATGTCGGAAAGGTCACAGTCACCGCTTTGCCCACAAGATTAAGGTACCAGTGCTCGCAGCAGCGGTAGTAGTAATATAATAGTAGTAGTTGTTGTGGTTGGTCTAGGTGGTTACAACGTCGGGCTGTCATGCGGGAGACCCGGGTTCGACCATCAGTAATATGATGAATTTTTTTTCTGTCTCGGGCACAATCAAACATCTTAACCAGAACAGTCCGTGGCGACAGCACTAGCCATGCGGCTTCTCTTGCTAACGCCCCCCTGTCTGCACCTAAATATGTGGTGAAACAGACAGTAGTGACAGTTTTGTTTAGTTGTTATGGTGCTAGTGGTGGTGGTGGTGGTAGTAGTACTGGTAATCTATGTGTGATGTGCTACAAATTACACTGGCCGCATTTACTTCTAATTACAATTCCTGCTTTCCATTTTAGTCTGTGTGGACGCAGATGCCAAGATCAATTAAAATAAGTGTTCCTGGGATGTCCGTAAGACACCACGATTGTGTCCATGCAATACATCCTTGCATTACCTCAGAGTAGATGCAGACAAAAGTCTCGAAAAGTCTGACCTGTGTAGGGTTATGATCACATTAGGCCAGGAGTGCAGAGAATGGCCAGTGGGTGCTACGGAGGTACAACAGTTGATTCCTGACAATTCACGCCCAGGTGATTTGATTATCGATATAGATGATTCAGTGTTGAGAGCGAAAGCCAATAGAAAATCTTTCGTGCAAGACAGCATACGACACCACAACATCTAGATTGAGGATCGAGTTGGAGGCGGTAACTGCAGCTCTCCGGTGGCTAGAGAACAAGATGCATGCACATGTCGTAATTGTAACAGATTCTGAAAGCGTGCTGAGAAAGGTGAAGTCAGGAATGCTTCGAGGATTGTGGCAAGCTTCTCTGGGAAGGTCACGGGTAGTGAACATACTTTGGATCTTTTCTCCAGGCCTTGCCAGCGTGGTGGGTAATAAACAGACAAAAAGACTGCCTGGATCTGAACAACTGGGTAGAGAAACAAGATTATTATCGCCTTGAGAGAATGAGGCACCTGTGTGTAACCAGAGGGTCTGGCCGGCTCACTACACTCAGAGAAAAGGGAAGACTGACAAAATAATCCGTATTTTGACCGATACCATCAGTATTGGAACTATGCGCTGGCTGCTGAAGATGAGTTCGGAGCACACATGGGAATGCCCCGAGTGCTGTGATATCAATTCTTAACTCAACTTAACTCAAACGTTGAACTTTATCTCAAACCATTTGTTGTACCAGTGCCGTATTTTATTATCGTTGTAATCACATGTATGAGTGCCATCTCTGTCACCTGGATCAGTACAGTGCCATCTCTGACACCTGTATCAGTACAGTGCCATACAGTGTACTAGAGTCATGTGTAGGCGCGTATCTTTTTTTTCTAGTCCAGAGTATTTACATAAAGCTAACCTTCCAGAAAAAAGAATGATGTGATCAACACTATACCTCATGCCTATCCGGGGATCTGGTTTATCAAAATAACTGCAATTAGTATTCTCTTACACATACAAACATACATATGTGTGTGTATATATATATATATATATATATATTTATATATGTATATATATGTGTGTGTTTTTGTAGGTGTGTGTCTATAAATACTGTGTGTCTGTAAAGTCATGGTGCACTTTAAACGTCATTTGACGTCAAACGTGCACCATGACTTTCCGGACACAGTGTATGTATATACACATAAATATACACACACACATACACACATACATATACAGATATATATGTGTATATGCGTGTGTGTGAGTATGTGTGTGTATGTGTGTGTATTTAGTGTGTGTGTATGTGTGTGTGTGAGGACGAACAAACAAATCTTAAATCAAGAAATCAAAACAAAAAACAAAACAGAAAACCCAATAGATTCAACAGTTTACTACATGCCATATTTCGCTGCATATTGTCAGGTGCTTACTATAGTAACAATTAATTAAAATGATGTACATAAGGAATACTTCTAAGTAAATCACAAAATATACTAGCTTCAAAATTACCAGGTCAAATACAGGATCACGACCATGTCCTTATGTCTGCGTAAATCCTGATGAAAACGGTTTGTTGTTGAGGCTTCAACATAGCTGAAGATTCAGCAATTGTTTGAAACACATAATTTGATATGTTCTGTAAACTAAAGCATAGGAATATTGAACAAGTTTAAATCTTGTGTACGTCTTTACACTATAGATCACTTTGTATGCTGATGTGATCTCCATTAACTCCAAGACTTGAATTATCTTGCTCCATCAGTGGACTCCAAACTTGTCCTCTGCCATTTTCTGTAGGACCTTTCTATCAACTTTACCAGTCGCTGTTTGTGGAAAGTCCCGCAGGATCTGGAGATAAGCGTCAAAACATGATTATATATGGAATATGTTCATTATTGCCCGCGATCGAAACCCACTGCTGGCTGGATTTTTTATCATGGTATGGGGCGTCGCAGGTCGACCCAGTCTAAAATGGATACCAGGACGTATGTCCCAGGGAAGTAAAGACGGCCGGCGTCGTGGTGACCACTTTACCCACCTAGTGCCGATTAGTCTGTGAAAATATGGGTGCTCTTTCCACATGCTCATTGCGCCCAAAGGCGTGAAAAGGGATCTTTCCTGGATTTTTTATTGTTCATGATCGCAGCACAACGATTAGCACTAGGTGAACCCCAGAAGAAATATGGATCGACTCTAATCCCTTTTCCTCTCTTCAGGGTTGTAGTCTGGAGGAATTACATTTCAAGGATGAAAATCAAATTGGAATAAATATAGGAAACCCCACTCAACCGGGTAGATATCTAGCTCATTTATACTGGAGCACCACAAAACAGTTACTAGGTAACCCGGTTTGTTCACATAGTGCCACAAGATCACTTGGCTGTCTAGCCGTTACTCTATCATGCCTCGAGAGATGGAAGTCCCCGGTTCAAGCTCCGGTGAAGGCTGGGATTTTTTACGTGGACTTCCAATAATTTCCTCTGGTCTCAGGGTAGTAAGATCGGACGCCTGTGTGTATTCTTGCGGACGTAAAAAAATACCTTGGCAGTTGCAAATCGAAAAGAGTAGCCTTACGGCGCTGCCCGGGCAAAATTTGGAGTTTAAAATCTACCCGAAGTATTTCAGGAATCCTCACCGGTGCTACGGAGTTCGTGTACTGCGCTAAAAAACTTCGGACTAAGGCTTGAGTTAGAAGTAGAACGGAGCAGTTATGGGGTACACGCATATGTCATAATGTTGATCCGTCGAATAAATATAAACATAATAAACATAGCCGTTACTTGTGCCCTAATTATAACTACTTTGCAGGTTCAAATGGACATCTGGGATCTGCTGTGTTGGTCTGCTGACAAAAATGGGATCTGTTAACATCGTTTTGTCTAAGCACAGGATAGCAACTTTTGGATAACAGATCGGAGGGGACAAACCGATCAATTAAACTATTGAAACATTGAGGGGGAGTGGGGGGGGGGGGATTAATTGATGCAGTCTGTCATACTAAACACTGGTGGCAATTAACTGATGCAGTCTGTCACACTAAACAGTGCAGGCAATTAACTGATGCAGTCTGTCACACTAAACACTGGAGGCATTAATTGATGCAGTCTGTCACACTAAACACTGGAGGCAATTATTTGATGCAGTCTATCACTAAACACTGGTTGCAATTAACTGATGCAGTCTGTCACATTAAACACTAGAGGTAATTAATTGATGCAGTCTGTCACACTAAACACTGGAGGCATTTAACTGATGCAGTCTCTCAAACTAAACAGTGGTGGCAATTAACTGATGCAGTCTGTCACACTAAACACTGGAGGCAATTAATTGATGCAGTCTGTCACACTAAACACTGGAGGCAATTAACTGATGCAGTCTGTCACACTAAACACTGGAGGCAATTAACTGATGCAGTCTGTCACACTAAACACTGGTGGCAATTACCTGATGCAGTCTGTCACACTAAACACTGGCGGCAATTAACTGATGCAGTCTGTCACACTAAACACTGGTGGCAATTAACTGATGCAGTCTGTCACACTAAACACTGGAGGCAATTAACTGATGCAGTCTGTCACACTAAACACTGGAGGCAATTAACTGATGCAGTCTGTCACACTAAACACTGGAGGCAATTAACTGATGCAGTCTGTCACACTAAACACTGGAGGCAATTAACTGATGCAGTCTGTCACACTAAACACTGGAGGCAATTAATTGATGCAGTCTGTCACACTAAACACTGGAGGCAATTAACTGATGCAGTCTGTCACACTAAACACTGGAGGTAATAAACTGATGCAGTCTGTCACACTAAACACTGGAGGCAATTAATTGATGCAGTCTGTCACACTAAACACTGGAGGCAATTAATTGATGCAGTCTGTCACACTAAACACTGGAGGCAATTAATTGATGCAGTCTGATAAACACTGGAGGCAAGTCTGTGCACACTAAACACTGGAGGTAATAAACTGATGCAGTCTGTCACACTAAACACAGCAGGCAATTAATTGATGCAGTCTGTCACACTAAACACAGGAGGCAATTAATTGATGCAGTCTGTCACACTAAACACTGGTGGCAATTAATTTATGCAGTCTGTCACACTTAACAAAGGTGGCGATTAATTGATTATTCTGCCAAAGTAAATTATAGTCACCTTGTGACACCTTTGGAAAGACTGGCCCCCCGGTATCGCCGGGGGGATAAACTGACATCTGGAGACAGATGTCGACTGTGGACCGGGTTGATCACCCCTAACACAGTATAATACCTCCGATTTCGTACAACCACATAGAAATATGCCCCCAGGGCCCTCCGAAAAGGGGGGGGGGGGAGAAAGAAGGGCCCAATCAAATTGATACTCTCGATGACGACTATGCTAGCTCCCGGACTCAGATACTCGCCCAACGTCCGGGCTGGCTCTGTACATGTGGAAAGAGCTTCACGGGGTTGCATGGTCTGAGAACACATGCCGGAAGAATGAAATGCGAGGGTGCTCCACGCAGTAAACGCCGTCGCAAAACTACTACTCCTGTGGTAGTTTCTGAGTCGTCAGGGAACGACGGGCAGGGTGAACCCCACTCGCCCGGAGAGGCCCATGACGTCGACTGCGGAGGAGCACATTTGATGATTTCTGAGGAAGTGCGTTCAAAGATCAGGTTTCCACCTGCGAGCGATAAGGTGGTGCGGTGTAAGTTGGAGGCTACATTATGTGAGGTACTTAAACATGATTTAAACAAGAAGTCGCTGGGCGACAAGCTTACAAAATTTGGTGATGTAATATATGAACACTGCTCCCGTGAGTTCGGGACAGTAGTAAAGGCACAGCCGGGTGCCAAGCAGAATACTAGCAGGAGGCAGAGGGACATACTGAAGTGTCGGGCAGAGAAGGATGCCCTCAGAAAACGGTTCAAAGCCGCTACAAGCAGCGAACGGGAAGGGCTGTATGAAGTTTGGTTGCATTTAAAGAACAAACACAGTGCCCTCTGTCGCGCCGAGCGTTTCTGTAACAACAGACGAAGAACCAAAAGGGAGCGAGAGAAATTCTTTAGGGACCCGTATCAGTTTGCCCGAGGTCTATTCGAGCAACCGAAGTCTGAGACTCTGGTTGTCAGTCAGGAAGAATTTGAGTTACATCTACGCAAGATGTACTCTGACAAAAAGAGGAGACAGCCTCTCGATGACAATCCAGAGATCATTAGCGGCCTCAAACAGCCTTCGGTGCTGAATAACCATTTAAAATGATACCTCCCCTTTGGTCTGAGGTTGAGGAAGTTGTGAAAAAGGCCAGCGGCAAGTCTGCCCCAGGGCCGAACGGTGTTCCGTACGTTCTTTACAAGCGTTGCCCGAAAATCCTAAAAATGCTTCACGTCTTGTTGAGACAAGCGTGGATCCGTAAACACATATGTCCAGAGTGGTCAAAGGCCAATGGGGTTTTCATTCCCAAAGAGCAGGACTCGAGGAGTCTTTCCCAATTCAGGCCCATCTCGCTGTTGAATGTCGAGGGTAAGATATTCTTCTCGGTCATGGCTCGCCGGCTCACACAGTATCTGATGGCTAACAAGTACATAGATACGAGTGTTCAGAAGGGTGGTATTCCAGGCGTTCCTGGGTTCCTTGAACACGCGACCATGATTTGGGAGGCTATCCAGAGAGCCAAGCATGAGAGAACCGAATTGCACGTTATATGGTTGGACTTAGCCAACGCCTACGGGGCAGTCCCCCATAGGCTACTGTGGCGAGCCCTTCGCATGTTTCACGTACCGGCACAGATCAATCAAATGATCGAGCAATATTTCTTTAAGTTCGCTTTGCGCTTCTCTACCTCGACGTTTACCACGAAGTGGACTGAGTTGCAGATTGGGATAGCTATGGGGTGTACGATCTCACCTATACTGTTTGTCATGGCCATGCAGATCATGTTAGACGGGGCGGCCGGCTACGGACTGTGCCTTCAAATAGGGGATCACTGGTTGCCGCCACTACGCGCATTTATGGATGACACGACTATAATAACGGGCAGCGAGGAGTCTGCCCGCACGATCCTGAAAAGATTGGACGCGGTGGTACAATGGAGCGGTATGCAGTTCAAACCGCAGAAGTCGAGGAGTCTGTCAATCCATAAGGGCAAGGTGTCGGCAACCAGTTTTACGGTGGCAAGGAACAAGATCCCCACGGTTCTGGAGGAACCGGTGAAGAGCCTTGGTCGCGTTTACGATTCGAAGTTATCTGATAGAGCGGAAGTCCGGCGAATACACGAGTCACTGGCTACAGGCCTGCTCGCGATCGAGCGTTGCAGGCTGGTCGGAAAATTCAAGGTATAGTGTCTCTAATTCATGTTGATTCCAAAGCTCCTATGGCCACTGTTAGTCTACGAGGTGACAATGACTGCAGTGGAAACCATGGAGAAGAAACTCAACACAGCCTTGAGAAAGTGGATTGGTGCACCGCCTTGTCTGACCGACGTGGCTCTGTATTGTAAGCAGGCTAAGCTGGTACTACCGTTCAAATCAATAACCAAAGAGTTTAAAGTCGGCAAGGTAAGGCTCGCCATGCTCTTGCGCGAGTCTTCAGACCCAAATGTCATCGCTGTCCAGCCCGCTCTAAAGACTGGCCAGAAGTGGAGAGTCCTCGATGCGATAGAATCTGCCCAGAATGCACTAAAATTGAAAGAGATAATGGGATACACTCAAACCGACCGTCGAGGCCTAGGGCACGGGAAGGTCAATTGGTGGTCAAAGGCCTCAGCCAAAGAGCGCCGAGACATGGTAATACAAACGGTGAGGGACAACGAAAACGAGGTTCGGGTCCAGAAAGCAGCCCAGCAAGCGCAGCAGGGCCATTGGGTCAGCCTGGAGAGCGCATTGCCAAGAGTACTCACATGGGGTGAAATCTGGCGAATGACCACGCTGCGACTGAGCTTTATCGTTCGTTCGGCGTACGATGTATTACCGTCCGGTGTTAACATGGTTAAATGGTCTGCGACCAACGATCCGACTTGCCCGTTGTGAAAAGCGAAGCAAACTCTTGAGCACGTCCTGTCCGCGTGCAGGAAAGCCCTAGGTCAAGGCCGATACACCTGGTGACACAACAAGGTGCTAAAAGAGTTAGCAGCCGTTGTTGACCAGGCTAGAATGAGGGCCAACGCAAGGGCTAGTTCTAGCATCGTCCCCATTCGTTTCCTCAAGGCTGGGCAGGTTCAAAAAGGTAAGGTCAACCGAAACTCATTCGCTCCATCTGTGCTAGACTCTGCGAGGGACTGGTTACTGGCGGTTGATCTGCCAGGCCATGAACGGTACCCCGAGTTAATCCGGAAGACCGGTCTGCGACCTGACATAGTCCTCCACTCTGCGGAGAAACTGCAGCTCATCCTGATAGAGTTGACCGTCCTGTATGAGTCGCGTATGGATGAAAATCACCTGTATAAGCTCGAGAAATACAGTGATTTAGCAGCCGGTCTGAGGAGAAACGAGGCGTACACGGTACGGGTATTTGCCGTCGAAGTGGGAGCGAGAGGCCTCGTTTCCACTTCGCTCTACAATGTGGTTAAAGAACTAGGGTTGCGCGGTAATGAACGGAAACGAACACTCAAAAAACTGGGAGAGGTAGCCGAAAGGGCCTCTAGCTGGCTTTGGACGCAACAACGTAGAGGACGGGCCTCGGTGAGCTGGTCCGGGTGTCTAGCGGAAAAGGGTTTCTCACCCCTTGAAAGTCCATCGTGTCCGAATTGTCTGCCAGTGATCCTCTGTCACCTGCTAATAAAAGTCCAACATGTGTCCGGTAAACCAAACGTAAGCTTGTCGCTCGGTCGTCCAGGCACGCTGACTGTTCTAATTAGGCTGCCGCAACGACTTCTTATCTCACAGTACCTTCTGCAAACCACCAAGTCGTCTTGTCTCTATCCGAAAGAAAAACACCATCCGGTAATTTCGTGCAGCAGGGAACCAGCCCTGAGCTTCATGAACTCAGGTGGGCCCACCTCCGAAAGCGTCTAGGAATCGTGGGCCGAAACGCTCGTTGACGAGGATAATTTCTACTGACGACTGGTAGATCCCTGCTGTAGTTGCTCCCTGTGAGTTTATTCCTATAGTCCAATAAGAACACCATGTCTACTTAGTTACCGGCTTCAAATGTGTCATGTAACTCTGTTTTCCATAGTTACCGGCTTAAAATATGTCACCTAACCCTGTCTCCATAGTTACCTGCTGAAAATATTGGCCACACAACTCTGTCTCAACAGTTGCCAAATAAAACACACATTACACAACACACCCTGTCCTGACTCCATAGTTACCAGATAAAACTTGGGTACAGGTGTGCCCTCCGTGTCCTCGTCCGTCAAGAAGATGTCTCGACAAATCGTCTCAAGCTGCTGCACGCTGAGGTCGCTGCCGTCAACCGGCTTCACGATGGCGCAAATGTTATGATACAGCACTGGGTCAGACACCTGCAAACATTTTTACATGAATATATGAACGGTGGCCAGGTGAATGTTCTCGACTGTTGAAACTTACGTTACCAGTTAAAACAATATTATTTACATGATTTTACAATTCTGTTATTATTTCCATTCCAAAGATATAAAATCTTTCCTTTCTTCCAATGTGATGTTATCAGGTCTAGGTGCTTTTCCTTTGTTCGTGTGATGCAAAACATCCTTAACTTCTGAAGCCAGTATTGGTTCGGCCTTCACTGTTGTCCTGCAAATATACTTCTGGTCTATTATCATCATTCAGACCCACCGAGTACACTGACCATCTTTTAATTATGTCACTTTGCCCCATTATTAATTCACCTTTTTCAATTTTAAACACACACTGATGTTACATCTCTTCTTCCCTGTTAACATACTTATCTGTTGATGTATGGAATATGAGGCTTTTCCATTATTTTTCCCAATCTTATTGCACATCTGATTCAGCCAGATTTCTTTAGCCTTTTTGCATATGTTCACTGTTTCTTTATGTATACAAGAATATTCTTCTTTATAATTCTTTCTTTTCTTATATCATCCATCGTCTGGATGACACGACTATTATAACGGGCAGCGAGGAGTCTGCCCGCACGATCCTGAAAAGATTGGACGTGGTGGTCCAATGGAGCGGAATGCAGTTCAAACCGCAGAAGTCGAGGAGTCTGTCAATCCATAAGGAATTGTGTCATCATTCTTTGTCATCAATTTTTTTTTTTTTTTTTTTTTTTTTGCAGCTCAATGAGTTGGAGGATTAAGCTCTTGTGATGTCTGCTGAATTAACTCTAGCAGCATATCCCATTATTCATCAATAGTTTGTATTATTTCCATCTATTTTATCTGTTTTCCGTATATCCCAGTGACACTGTACTGTTCCCTAATTTATTTATCTACTTTAAGTATCTCTAAATTAAACATGATGTTCTATGGGGTCTTCTTTAAATTCTTAAGTTTTATTCTAAACTTTTCTATAACTGGAACATGATCACTATTATAGAGATTTAGTGACTTGAATTCTTCACGCTAACTGGCTGTAAACTACGGCCGAATAATTCTGGCTGTTATGCCGCCTCTAGAACCGGAGATTTGAGTGCACTTCTGTTTCATAAATCCGGTTTATTTGTATCTAGACTTTTGGTTCTTCATCTTTCCGGCAGATGCACTTCGACTTCAAAGGAAACACCTTCAATAGTCAACTTTTATGACATGGGGTGGGGTCGCTGAGGATCTATTCCTCCACACCCACAATGGGGCCCCGGAACCCACACGAAGATAGAGAAACCATGTTGGCAGTTATGAGACGGAAGCAACACTCACAGGGACGATGCAGGCCTCGCTGATCGCTGGGTGCTGGGTAATCTTGGGCTCCAGCCAACCCGGGTACACGAACGTGGCTCCGAAGATAATGACGTCCTTCAACCTGCCCAGGACATACAAGTTTCCGTCTTCATCAAAGTAACCGCTGTCATCCGTGTTCAGCCAGCCGTCCTTGGTGAAGGCCAACAGAGTCTTGGGGTCCGGGTTCTCTACACGGTTCAGGTATCCCCTGAACACCGCCCTGCCTGGAGACAATAGTGCTGGCGTTATTGATTGTACTTAGAGACATAATAAGTTCTTACAGTGAATGTCATGTCAGTACTTAGTGGCATCAGGTCATTAAATAGGGGCATTTAGCGTCATCACTGGTGAAGGAGAGCAGTTAAAACAATCGAAGCAGTCATTATGCGTCATCACTGGTGAAAGAGAGCTATTAAAACAATCTAAGAAGTCATTATGCGTCATCAATTTTTAAGGAGAGCTATTAAAACAATCTAAGGAGTCATTATGCGTCATCAGTTTTCAATGAGAGCAATTAAAACAAACTAAAGAGTCATTATGCGTCATCAGTTTTGAAGGAGAGCTATTAAAACAATTTAAGGAGTGATTATGCGTCATCAGTTTTCAATGAGAGCAATTAAAACAATCTAAGGAGTCATTATGCGTCATCAGTTTTGAAGGAGAGCTATTAAAACAAACTAAGGAGTCATTATGCGTCATCAGTTTAGAAGGAGAGAAATTAAACCAGTTTAAGCAGTTTAAGTACCTAGGCAAAGTATTCACAGAGGACTGGACATAGGACTGGACAGAGAGAAAAAAAAACAGAATACAGAAGGCCAACAACATAAATTACCGAATAGTCGTATCAACTTTGTGCTTTCAATGGTAGATATGGACAGTCGTAGAAAAACATAAGCAAGATTACAACATGTGAGATGAGATGTACAAGGAATGCAGAAGAAAACAAGAAGAGAAAAAAAGTCAGATCCGAAGAACTAAAAACAATAGTAGGAACAATACTGGTGAATGATTTTATATCACATCAAAGAATCAAATAGTTTGGTCATGCGGTCAGACCTAGAGCGTACTACAGGAGAACGACAGGCTATAAGGCAAGAGGCCGACCAAGAAAGACATGGATGGAGGGAGTAAAAGATACACTGCAGAAAATGCAATATGACATTAAAATAAGCTAGGCAACTAGCAAAAGACAGGAAACTACATTTCACTCTTCTCTGTGACGCTTTGGGGTTATTATAAACAGTAGGACACCAGAAGACTATAAAGTTATGGAAAAACACTGTGGTGTCTCGTGTTATAAAGGTGTTACTGCATTCCATAGTAGTGACATGTCATTCTTCTTCCTCTTTTGTCAATATCTGCTTATACCGCTAGGTGTCCAGTTTATCAGACGATTGGCAGCTGAGCCAGAGCTCGCTCCGTCGCGTGATGTGCCTTGATGTTACGCAGTCTCAAGGTGACAGTGACTCCTTCAATCCATATTCTTCTCAGTCCTTCCCTTGCCTCTTGGTGTTTCGATTTTCAGGTTGTGCGCTCTTACTGCTGGCATCGTTGGTTTCATTCTCATTAGATGGCCAAACCATTTCATTCTTTGTTTCTCAATAAATTTGACGTTGGAGTTATTCCAACAGTTCTTATGATCTTGTTTCTCACTCTATCTCTTCTGGTTTTATTCACAGCCACTCTCAAACACCTCGTCTCACAGATGGTTAGTTTTCTGTCGTGTTCATTTGTTGATGTCCATGTTTGACACCTGTAACCTAAAGTCGGTATAAATATTGTATTTACAATTTGTCTTTTTGTTTCCATTGGGATAGCAGAGTGTTTTAAAAATTGAAGCAAATTGGTACGTGAAATTGCGGGCTTGTTGGATTCTCGTTTCTCTCTCTCTCTCTCTCTCTCTCTCTCTCTCTATATATATATATATATATATATATATATATATATATATATATATATATATATATATATATATATATATATATATATATATATATATTACCATTGTATGTAAAGATGCTTCTCAAGTATTTAAACTCTTGCAATAGTTTCAGACATTGATATTTGATCTCTATGCAGATGGTTTGTTGCTCTCTACTTATTCAATATTGATCTTCATGTTAGGTTTAAGGCAACTGTCTATAGTTGGTTTATGTGGTCCTGCAGCTGTTTACTTTCACTGTGAAATATTCACTGATCGTCGGCAAAGAGCAACTCATTGAAGTCCTCTTGTTTATCGACATCTTGTGGTGTTATGTCTATTTTATTAATATTGTCCATGAATATTATAAAAAGTAAAGGTGAAAGAACACTCCCTTGCCTTACTCCAGATGTTACTGGGAACCAGTCTATGAGGCCAGCTCTTGTTCTGATGGCCCTTTCATTTTCTCTAAAAATAGCTCTTACACAATCTAGCATCACGCGTCATTACAAAGTGATACCATCTTGTTACATAACAGCGTCTCGTCATTACATAGTGACGTCGCGTAACTATTACATAGCGAAGTTATGTCTAACATACTGATGCATCATCACTGCATATTAATGTCAGGTCAATACATAGTGGTTTCACGTCATCAAATAGTAATGTCAAATCATTACATAACGGTTTTACGTCATTACATAGTGGTGTTACATCGTAACATAGTAGGTAGTTTGATCGATATGTTGAACTACCTTTATGACATATACCAGTGTTTCTCAAAGTGGGCGATACAGGAATGTCAAACCGAATTGGCACTTTAAATATCAAAATTCGCCTTTTTTGCAAAAAAATTTGATCCGTGTGCAAATCTGTACATAAAATGTTTCTACAGAAATATTTTCTCAAGCGATCGTAATAAAAGTGAGGTTCGATTTCAGCTGTTGCTGCAGTTAAATATGTTATTGCAAAAAATAAACGCGTTTATCTAATTGAAGCTCTTATTTTAAAATCCCCACCTTCCCCCGGATGGAGGGAGGGGGAAGAGCAATAATTTAACCAGGGTTACAAGTGGGATAAGTCTTCTTCTTCGTTTTCAGCCAGCTTGTTTTCTTCACTTATTCTTTGGTGGATACCACCTATATCAGCCATCACAGCAGCGTTGTCTGAGAACTGTGATCGACAATGTTCTAGTTCCCTTTCTTCTTTCTCTAGCTGGTTCAAGACGTCTTGAACTAGGTAAGCTCTTAGCATCTTTTTGGCTTTTCTGGATGAACGCAAGGGAGAGTTCTTTAACATAGACCTCTTTGCTCGTAGAATCAGCTTCCAGGAACCTCACTATCTCTGACATCGAGTCAAACATGATATCATAACACTTGGCTCTACAAATGAGTAAATGTTGGCGAAAAGTGGATGCCATCAGGTGGACTAATTCATCCTGCACAAAGGGGCGAGATACGACGTTGATCCTGTATGGTCTTTCACATATGTCCTAAAGGGCCCTCACAACATCTATCTTGTCATACATCAATTCACCATCAAGTGGTACACAACCGGCCAATCTATCTGCCTGCACTTTTAAGTTCGTCTGTTATCTGACATTGTCTTTTAGGAGCATTAACAATAATATAAATATCTCCCCTTCAAACATTGATTCGACACTGAAGGCCATTACTTTGCTAACCTTTTTTAAAATCAACGATTTAAAGCCTTCTGTGCACGTTACATAATGTTTGAATTGGATATTATTTAAATTAAATCATACCCTTCAGGGCGAAGTAGTTAAGATGCTTGCCTCGCGCGCTTTGAATGTCGTGGGTTAGTTTCACTGACAGTCGTCAGTCCACGAGGGCAGTTTTTAACGGAGATCCATGGGATCGTCACTCAAGATATGGAACTCAGTGGGATTTGTGGAAATACCAAGAGAGACCGAGTTATATGGGATCACACCTGGTGCAGTACAGTCAATTTAATCTCTAATAACTTCATTTTAACTTGTATTTAGATAAAAATCGTTATTAACACACATGTAAGTTTTAGCTAATGTTAGAACACGGCGTATCTTACCTTTGACATGTATGGTCCCTACTTGTCCTATCCGACACTCTTTGTTGTCGGCGTCCACGATTCTCACCTTGAATCCTGGCGCCACTTGTCCACAGAAGTAGTCCTTCGCCTTGTTCTCTACCAAAACAGACGAGATAGTTGATAGATACTGTGACAAGCATGACAGTGGAAACGCATGAAGAGGCACATGATAGGGTCTATTGTTGGGTGTTTTGTTTTTTAAAAAAGAAAAAATACGGAAACCAGATTGTGAAAGAGAGGGGGAGGGAGAACGGAGACAGAACGGAAGAGAGTGGAGAGAGAGATGAAGAGAGTAGAAGGGAAGAGAGAGGGAGAGAGCATAGAGAGGAGGAGGAGAAATAGAAAGAGACAGAGAGAGGGGAGGGAGATTTGAAAATTAAAATGTTTTTTTTTAAACCTTAAAAAATGCAATATGGTAGAGGGCATAGAGATGGAGAAACCGTGTATGAAAGCATTTTCTTTTAAACACCTTCGCAATACCATATTGGAGACAGAGGGGGAGTGGGAGATAGAGTCGAGAAAGGGAGAGGGGAGAGTGAGTGGAGAGAGAGGGGGAGAGAGAGAGAGGAGGAGGTAGAGAGAGAAAAACAATGCATACAAGAATTTGTTTTAATATCTTTTACAATGCCATAGGAGAAAGAGAAAAAGAAAAAGGAGAGAGAGAGAGGGGGGGGGGAGAGTAGGGAGTAGAGAGAATGTATATGTGTGCGAATGTAAATAATACCTTCAACAATGCCATATGCTATGAACCCCGCTTCGGTGCTTCCATACAGCATACTCACTTCTCGGGCTACAGCGTAGTAACTGTGAAACTGGTCCTATCAACGGAGAAAAACATGCACGATTATTCACTGCGAATACATATAAGTAGTATATGGCGTCCCGCTCCAACCGTAGACGTCATAGCCTGGCCACTGGCCACCGGATGGACCCTGGCCACCGGATGGACCCTGGCCACTGGAGCGGTGGGTGGCCACCGGATGGACCCTGGCCACCGGATGGACCCTGGCCACTGGAGCGTTGGGTGGACACTGGCTGCCTGGTCCCGGAAGTTCAAAGGGTCAATTATTTGTTTGTCCCAAGATGGCGAAATGTTTTGCAAGTTGTCAAGGGCGTCACTGTTTGTTTCTTTAAAAATAAAACCTTGTTGGGAAATCAAGATGGCGAAATGTTTTGCAAGTTGTCAAGGGCGTCACTGTTTGTTTCTTTAAAAATAAAACCTTGTTGGAAAATCAAGATGGCGAATATTTTCTCTAGAATTTTCTCCTTAGAAGTGATATTTTTCTTCCCAGAAGTCATTTTTTACACCAGGTTTTTGCCAAGTATTTTTTCTAAAGATGAATGTATTGTCCAAAAAATATATTTTGGTCTGGAACACCTCGGGGGCATTTTGGGGGCACTGGAAAATCATGTAGGTCCTTTGTAGTTCTTTCTGTCTATTCCTGTCTGCCACCTGTAGTAATTACCCATCCCCGGTAACAAACAACATTGACTAAAAAATATAGGCAGAAGACGTATAACAGTTTATATAATTGTTTATTGTTTAGTAATTCCATTTTTTTTCCTTCAATCATCAATGTACAAATCAGGACAGACAAAATAAACATTTGAACATTTGCAACATTAGGTATAAATTAGGCAAATAATGCATGACATAGTTGGCAAAATCATAGGTAATATTTTTACCAGACAAAAGACCTTTTATTGGTAGTATTGTCTAGTTTGTATTTCATTTTACATATCAACAAAGCTAATTTTTTACAACAGCATGGCACAAATTGGATGTCAATGGCACATTTTGTATTTTACATTATTTTACAAGCAATATCACAGACATCTAAATTTTATCACAGTCACAGTAAAGTGTAAGTCACCGGTCTGTGTTGTATGTACATAGTTTATAGGAAAGACAGGTGATATTTATGATACAGACAGAAAACAGAAATTAGATTGCCAGAGGAGAAGTTGAAACTGTATCATCGTGGACAAGTCGTTTTATATATAGATAGGACAAAGAGTATCGGTGTTGATTGTAGGTGTAGATGGAGGACTTGTGTACTCTAAACCCTACATTGGTAGCTCCTTGTGGTTGTTGTACGTCAAGAACTTTCAAAAATGTGTCTATCTAAGGTGTTATGTTGTTTTGAAAGTCCTTTGGTGCTGGTTTTTTGTGTGCTCACCGTAGCAATGATAGGTCTTACTACATTGGGCTATCATGCCATCCCCCTCATACTCTAATTTAAAAAGCCCTAGGGTTCTCTTCTCATAGAGTTTCCTAGCTCGACAGGCCTGACAGTCTAACGTTACGTTACCCTCGGTAGAAATAAAGGCAGACTTGTGAGCAGGACAGACTTCTGACGAGAATCACTTATCGTAAACAGCATAGAACTTGGGGCGAAGGTGGGGCTTTACAACGTCAGAGAGATTGTCACTACTAAGAGCTAAATACAAACTATCAGTGTCCATCTCACACAACTGAAAATCGGCCCTATCTACAAATTTATCTAAAAAGTCGTAATAAAACTCTAACATTCTCAGTTTGGCGTACTGATAAACGAAGAAACCTATTTGGAGTGGGAGGTCCCAGACTATATTCTTCTTCAATAGTTCTACCTCATAGATATCATCGGTCAGATGGGTCATCTGTTTGAAGAGGGGGTTGTTGACTTTTGTCGAGGTGCTATCCCCAAGACAATAGGATACGTCGGTATGCTTTGACTTGTTGGTCAAAGTCTTACCATACGCGGCGTTCCCCAACAACTTCATAGTCTCCCCAGTGAGCGCCTTGGACGGATCACTGTCACCCCTGCGCGTCGGGCCTCTGACACGGTATCCCCAAATTTCTGAAAGCAACTCACTGGGTGGTACTCGATGATTTGGTAGATTTTAGTCACCACTAATTTCTGTTCTAAATACCATTTTAACAAGGGAGTCGCTAACAAAATTTTGGTACCTATATAACTGCCTATCAAGGTCCTGCGCGGTGATGTCAATAATTTATGTTTAATGGTATAGTCCTTCATACAGTCACTAAGATCGTCCCTAGTCACTTCTATGTTTTTGAAGATGGGCGTCATTTCTTCAAATTTCGGTTTTAGGTCGTCAGGAACAGAAATGTCGCATTCTACTAGGCCAAAGAATGTATCCTTTCTGACTTTGTCGAGAATTGTCGCTTCTGTAATGGGATAGGCACCCCACTGGGGTTTAACGCGGGGGAACCGACCAGCCAGAAACGTTTTCACGGGTTCAGTCTTTTTAAGTTTCTGCCATTCACATTCCCACATTTCTACGACACTGACGCCTACCTCAGTCCTCAAATAGTGGGAAATCTCCCTGGTGTTTTCATACAACTCCACCAGGGGTTTCTGATTAACCGGGTTAATGGTTATACCCTGGTTCTTACAGCAGTTTTGATGGCCATGGAATAGACAACCGTGAAATTGGTAGGCGGTGCGAGTGGTTGGTGCCCACCCATCCACTCTAATGTGCCTGTCACCCAAACTCATCTCACGACCATTAAACTGTGTTTTGAGGGCTACGGCCGCTTCATGGGAGACCCAAGCCAACCATTCTCTATTCTGAGTGGTGTACCAGTTGTATTTTTCCACGCGGAAACCCGTCTCCGCTTTTCTGACAATAGGAATATCAGTCGGCATTTTCTGCATCAGGGCCCAAAGATACAGAGCATTGGCATCATAGCCTTTTACCGACTGGACTGGTTTCCCCCCTCTAATTGGGGTCTGGCCCTTCTCGTGCTTTCGGAGAAAAATAATACTGGGTCCCCCAACTATATTATCCCTAAGTGTCTGATGGAGTCCAGCTTCTTTTTCAGAACAGAGTGAAAACGACACGTCGGCAGCTAGAGTTTGGAACAGATATCTGAGGGTAACGCCCGGCACAGAAATTGCGTTTTTGAACATATCTACACCTAAACTAGAATAAAAAGATACCTGTTTTTCTAAGGCGGCTATAAAATGAACTACATCTTTATTATTATACCAGACAAGGAAATCTCTAAGAGTGTTCATGTTTTTATCAACCCAGACTTTTTGACAGAGAGAATAATCAGCCGCAGAAATGTTGCAATTTTTAAGAGAAGAAAAGAAAGCAGTGTGCGGTGGTAAAGTGGTTTCATCTAACTGACTAATATTGGTGACATAATCGTAACAGAAAAAGCCTTTAGTTTCAGAAATATCAAAAGAAGACAAATATTTCGAGTACGAAAAGCCCGGGGCGAGGTAGTTGGAAATATCCAGGAACTTTAATTTGGGTGTGGAAATACACATAAAATTCTGGTTTCTTTTGACCATATAGTTTAAAGCATTCCGGTCCTGGGTAAGGGAGTATTTAACCAAGTATGGTTTGATTAAATTAATGTCATACTTTCCAGAGTTGAAACCCAAGACAGGGAGCTCTTTTAAATAGGCATCCAAGCGCTCACCCAGCTTGTCCTCTCCTAACACTGTTAATTCTTCAAACACTTTTTCAAATTTTTTCAGCAGAGTGCTGTAAGCTTTTTCCGCCAGTTCCTTTAAACGAGTCAGCATCCAATTGACTAAGTCCTGTGAATTACCTGTTGTAACAAAACAAACAGGGGCTGACATGTCGGGCACATTAGAGGCCACAGAGCAAGACAGCGGGATATGTTTTGCTAAAAAATTCGTGGCACTACCCCCAGCTGGAAGATTGCTATTATCAAAATAGCATTCAAAATTGAATGCTGCTCTGTAGGGATACACGTATTTCGTGTCGACAGCTATGCCGTGAGAGGCAATGGCTTCCCAGATTGTTTCAGGGGTGTTATAAACACCACCTTTGTAACTGTGTTTGGAATGACCACCATTGCTGGTTTTCTCATTTCTGGTCATATCCCTAAATAAACCCCACAATTTGCCACATTTGGGACAAGCAAAAGTATGAGCAGCTGTATTTAAATCTTTTATAAACATGAAGTGATCTTTATAAAACAAAAGGTGCAAAGTATCCTGATACGTTCCACTACCTCGGAGTTTGGGGGTAAGGGCCTCATTGTCAGTAAATTCATACACAGAAATACTAATTTTGAAAAAGGCTTCCAAAGCGGGAAGCTCTGCCAAAGTTATCCCTGGAAAATTGTCAGCTGACGTTAAACCCTGATGTGCAACCCATTGATTTAGGAGCTCCTTGGTGTTTTGCCTACAAGCTTGAACACCCGCGCCTCGAAAAACAGCTAAACAACGAAAAAAGCAAAGATTATCATTGTACGGTTTTAAGTTTGAATCTTGTTGTATTGTGTTGATGGCTTTGTTGTTGTTGATGTGTGGGGGAATGTCTCCTAAACTACAACCTATGGGAAATTCGGGGATGTATGTAATGTAAAAAGATGTAGATGGAACGGCCTCGACGCAAAACTTGGTGGTGGGGCGTTTTAGTGTAATATAATCCATCAAGTTGGTTTCCGAAACGTAGGAAATAAAATCATCAAAGTCTTTTTTATTATTTATCAATTTAGCTATATCTAAAAGGGATGAATTGTTGTTGGACCCGTGAAAAAAGCGAAGCTCACCCGTTTCCATATTTTTTTTAAACAAAATGGTGTGCAAGATTAATTTTGAACCGGGTCGCTATGTTGCTGAAAATGGGGGTCAATTTTGTGTTCCAGTCTACAGGGAAGACAGAAGTGGGTCTGTGAAAAAAAAAGTGTGTGTGGACTGGCGAAGAAAATGAGTGGGTTGTGTTCGTATTGTCTTCCAGTTGTCGGTGTAAATTTTTTTAAAGTCAGCTGGCAACCGCTCTAAGGTTGCAAGTTCGTCTTCGTCAATGTGTTGTGGAAATGTGT